TAACAAACCCAACTCCAACCTCATCTTAAAATCTCAATTCGAAATCTTAACAACTTAATCAAGTGCCTGATTTATCAGAAGTTTTATTTAACATCACCGCCGATGGATGTGCATTCTACAGCATTCCCAATCCAACACAACCCCTTTTTTTAAACTTTTTCATCAACTGGACATTTTTTCAACCAAAATAGCAAAAAAAGTCCATTTTTAGCTATTTTTTGCACCATTTTTTCTCATACTAATAAAGCAACTCATGTTTTTATTTAAATTTTAAGCTATTTATATTTGTTTTTTTTCTTTAAACTATTTGAAATAATTTTATCATTTAATAAATTAAGTCGAATATGGCCCGTTTTATAAATAGAAGAAGCTTCTGTTTAGGAATTTTGCTCTTTTGCTGCAACTATTCCTCAGCCAATTCGTCACATAATATTTTCATGATGACTTTATCTATACTAAGTTATGCAAAATGGAACACTCCGAATCCAGAATTATGCGTCGTTGATAATGCATCCTATGCAAACCAATTTTCTGCTTATATCAAATCAAATAAGTCTCCTTTTAATATAAGTGCGATACATTCGGCTGATCTGAAAAATCGTCATTGTGATGCAGTATTTTTTTCCAATACTTCAGCACAAACCGAACAGGCCCTTATTGGGAAATCATTAAATTCATCTATTTTATCGTTTAGCTCAAGTAATTCTGAATGTGAAATTGGCAGCGTTTTTTGCTTATCCACCAACAAAACAGGAAATACTATTTTTAAAGTGAATCTAGATAGTTTAGCTCAGTCTAAAATACATGTTGACCCACGTGTTTTATTGCTGGCAAAGAATTCGGATTAAAATAATGATGAATAAATTTTTTAAATCGAGTTCTCTACAAACATTGTTTCGTAAATCTCAATTTACGACCTTTGCAATCACTTTATTTATTAGTACATCTACTTTTGTCACGATTTCAGTATTTACCGTTGAATCTTATGCGAAACAAAACCTATTATTAATCAGTCGAACCGTGTCTGAACGTGTTCAACCTGCGCTGGTGTTCTCTGATAGAATCGCGATTTCACAAATTATCAATGAATATACCTTCCAACATTCAGTACGTCTGATTGAAGTTTATGACAATCAAGGCCATAAAGTTGCAGAAAGTCTCAAAAATGTTGAACACTATTCTTATATTCAAAACTTTTTTGATCATATCTTTTTAAAAGATGCCATCAAGTTAAACGTCCAACATCAAGGTAAGCTTGTCGGTCAAGTTGTGCTGTATGGAAGTTCCAATGAAATTTTAATGTTTATTTTTAAAATTTTTACCGGCTTAGCGTTTGGCATGCTCTTTATGGTTTTTGCTGTATGGTGGTCAGTAAACTTGACCTATCGCCATATTATGGGTTCTTTTTTACCGATTATACAAATTGCACAACTATTAAGAAATCAAAAGGCATACAACTTAAGATTCCCTAAAAGTGATGTAAAAGAATTTCAAGACTTAAACAGTGTGTTCAACCAACTCTTAGATGAAATTCAATCTTGGCACACCCATCTTCAAAACGAGAATAGTGAACTTTCTTATCAAGTTCAACATGATCATTTAACCGAATTACCTAATCGTAATTATTTTTATCAAGTGTTATGTAATCTATATGAAGACACCAATCAACGTGAGAATTTAGCTTTATTATTTATTGATAATAATAATTTTAAAGCTATTAATGATCAATATGGACATTTGGTCGGTGATGAAGTTTTAAAAGAAATGGCTTCACGATTAAGATGCCATATTCGCCAAGATGATTTTGTCGCGCGTCTTGCAGGAGATGAGTTTGCAATTATTTTACGTTCCATTTCTAAAATTGAACACCTCATCTCTATTGCGGAAAATCTGATTAAATGTTGTGAAGATCCTTTAATCTATAAAGGACAATCGATTTCTTTTAGCTTTAGTATCGGTATTGCCATCTCTAGCCAGGCCTCAAGCCCAGAAGACTTAATTTCTCAAGCAGATCAAGCCATGTACAAAGCAAAATCTTTACAGCATCATTGGTTTATTTACCATTCATAATATTAGGGGGTTTTTATGACTTTAAAAAACGTACAACTTTCTATTCTTGCAATACTCTGCCTAGCACTTACAGGTTGTATGAATCTAGGTGGGTTGAGCTATAAACAAGCTCGTGTACTTAAGAAAGAAGGTTTTGTATTAACGGATGAAGGTTGGAGTTTAGGTCTACCAGAACGTTTATTGTTTGGTTTTAATGAATCAAATATTAATACCGAACGCCAAACTGAATTGGTTCGTTTAGCCACGCAATTAAATAAATATCATCTCGATAAGCTTAAAATTGTAGGTCATACCGATAATATCGGAAATCCTGAATACAATTTAAAATTATCCAAAGAACGCGCTCAAAATGTTTCAAATATATTCATTGAGCAAAAATTTAATCCACAAAATATCCAAGTGATAGGAAAAGGGGCTGACCAGCCTCTTAAATCAAATGATTCAGAAGAGAATAAAGCTGAAAACCGTCGTGTTGCGGTGATTATTATTCCTTGATAATCTTCTCTTTATTAAAAAAAGATCTCTACAGAGATCTTTTTTTAGGTCTATAGAATTTGACGCTTCGTTGACAAGCACAAATTTCGGGCATAAAAAAACCGCCTTTAAGCGGATAATTTATATTTAAGCTGATGCTTAAATGGTCGGAGCAGTAGGATTCGAACCTACGACCCCCTGGTCCCAAACCAGGTGCACTACCAGGCTGTGCTATGCTCCGAATTTACAACAAACTTAAGGAATTGGGGTGAATGATGGGGCTCGAACCCACGACAACCGGAATCACAATCCGGGGCTCTACCAACTGAGCTACATCCACCGTCACATTAAGTTTTAGGATCTATAGTATCAAGCAACATATGGTGCGCCTGACAGGATTCGAACCTGTGACCATCCGCTTAGAAGGCGGATGCTCTATCCAACTGAGCTACAGGCGCATGACCAATGATACTAATATCACAGATTAACTTGCCTTGAAGAATTGGTCGGAGCAGTAGGATTCGAACCTACGACCCCCTGGTCCCAAACCAGGTGCACTACCAGGCTGTGCTATGCTCCGTTCATCTCAGCTTTTGTGTATCGCACATCGTGCGGTACGGTGTGCATTCTAGGCGTGACGCCACAAGACGTCAACACCTATCTTGAAAAAAAGTTAAAAAAACACGTCAAATGTATATTAATCAAACATTTCAGATGTTTTTTATACAATTTCTATCGTTTTAATTGAGCACTAAAGTTCAACATACGATCTAAAGGTAATTTAGCACGTTCAGCCAAAGCAGCATCTACGAATATTTCTTGATCGGCCTTTTGCAAAACTGACAAAATACCATCTAATTCATTCATTGCCATCCACGGGCAATGCGCACAAGAACGACACGTTGCACCCTCACCTGCTGTAGGTGCTTCAATCAAGGTCTTATGCGGTACAGCTTGTTGCATTTTATAGAAAATACCACGGTCTGTAGCCACAATTAGAGTGTCTTGTGGCAATGTTTGAGCTGCTTTGATCAGTTGTGAGGTGCTTCCCACCGCATCCGCAATATCAATCACGGATTCTGGTGACTCAGGATGTACCAATACAGCTGCATTCGGATACAGCGCTTTCATCTTTTCAATACCACGGGCACGAAACTCTTCATGCACGATACAAGCACCATCCCAAAGCAACATATCAGCACCGGTTTTCTTTTGAATATAACGGCCTAAATGTTGATCTGGTGCCCAAATAATTTTCTCGCCCAAACTGTCTAAGTGTTCAATGATCTCTACAGCACAACTTGAAGTCACCACCCAATCTGCACGTGCTTTAACTGCTGCTGAAGTATTGGCATAGACCACAACAGTATGCTCAGGATGCGCATCACAAAATGCGGTAAATTCATCTACAGGACAACCGAGATCAAGCGAACAGGTTGCTTCCAAAGTTGGCATAAGTACTGTTTTTTCAGGAGAAAGAATTTTTGAGGTTTCTCCCATAAATTTAACCCCAGCGACCACCAGAGTAGATGCCTCATGATCACGTCCAAAACGTGCCATTTCCAAAGAATCAGAAACACAACCACCTGTCGCTTCCGCAAGTTCTTGTACATCTGGATCACAATAATAATGTGCCACCAAAACAGCATTGTTTTTTTGCAACTCAGCTTTAATTTGCGCAAACTTCTGCTGTTTTACCGCTGGACTCAGACTATTGTCCTTAGGTTCACCTAAACGATCTAAATGCGCTTGCACAACCGATTTTGCTTCGTTGGCAATTAAATTATTCGCATCATTCATAAGAGGTCTTCTCTTTCCTTGTCGCTGGCATCATGCTAGCGTTTATACACTTGTGAATTGATTGTACGGTTTAGCGCACATAAATTCACCACGAAAAATGTTTTGTTATAAAAAAGCCTCACGAATGAGGCTCCTTAAAAAATCAGCAATTAAGAACGATAGTCCGCATTAATTTTCACATAATCATATGATAGGTCACAAGTATAGACCGTATCTTTGGCCTGCCCTCGACCAAGGTTTATATGAATGGTCATTTCTGTCTGTGACATTACACGCGCACCAGCTTCTTCGGTATAGTCTTCAGCAGCACCACCATCTTTACAAATTTGCACGTCGTCTAACCAGACTTGAATTTTTTCAACATCCAAATCTTTCACGCCAGCATAACCAATCGCAGCAAGGATACGCCCCCAGTTTGGATCAGACGCAAAAATTGCCGTTTTGACCAATGGTGAATGGGCAATGCTATAAGCAATATCACAACATTCTTGTGTGTCGTTTCCACCGTCAACCATGATAGTAATGAATTTGGTTGCCCCTTCTCCATCACGAATAATCAGTTGTGCCAAACGCTTCATCACACGCGATAAAACATCCAAGACCACCGTATAGCGTGCATCATCTTCACTGCTAATTTCTACACCACCAGCCATGCCTGTTGCAGCAAAGATGCATGAATCATTGGTAGAAGTATCACCATCCACAGTAATTCGGTTAAATGATTGGTCTGCGCTAATTTTTAACATTTTTTGCACAAGATTTCGTGCAATTGGCGCATCGGTTGCAACAAAACTCAGCATGGTCGCCATATTTGGGCGAATCATGCCTGCACCTTTAGAAATCCCAGTCATTGTATACGTTATACCATCAAGCTCGAACTGTTCTGAGGCGCCTTTTGGTGTGGTATCTGTGGTCATGATCCCAGTCGCAGCATCCGTCCATGAAGCGTCATTCAAACTATTTAGTGCAGGCTGTAAACCTTGCGTTAAACGCTCAATGGGCAGTTGTTCGCCAATGACTCCTGTAGAGAATGGCAATACCTCAAATTCTTCTACCTGCGCTAACTCAGCAAGCTTTAAACAAGTCAATTGTGCATTTTGCATGCCCAATTTGCCTGTACCTGCATTAGCATTCCCGGTATTGATGACCAAATAGCGTGGATTGGCTTGTGCTAAATGTGCTTTGGACACATGAACGGGCGCTGCACAAAATGCATTCTGGGTAAACACACCCGCAACATTGGTACCTTGTGCAAATTCAAAAATAACTAAATCTCGTCGATTTGGATAACGGACATACGCCTCAGCAGAGCCAATTTTAACACCTTGTACCACATGCATATGCGGCATAGACACGTCACCAACAGCCATTTTCAAATGTCCATATGAATTAGAATGAAAACACAGCTTATTAGAATTCTCTATAAAAATCGAGCTTATTAAAATGCTTATTTATTTTTACTATAAGAAAAGCTTATTCATTTGAATATAAAATAAAAAAGCCAGTAAATATACTGGCTTTCATCACATCATCAATACCTTACTGTTGAACAGCAGTCGTGGTATCCGCAGCCAATAATGCTTGCTTTACTTTTTCTTGACTAGATACTGACAACGCTGGATTTGAAGCAACAACGCGATTAACCGTAGCAGGTGTTACTGCTGCAATCGCCGCAGTTTTTAAAATAATTGGGCGTCCGCCTGTATTACCTAAAGTATAACGAATACCGGTACGTGGACTGATTACAGTCGTGGTTTCATTTTTTACTTCTGCTTGGGCTGTCACTGCGCCTGTAGCAGCTTGTACTTTTTCCACTGTCGTCGTTTGTGGTGCCGTATCTGCAAATGCCAATGCTGGAACTGCTAAAGTTGCAACAAATAAAGGTTTTAATAATTTTTTCATTATCTTCCCAAAGATCTTTTCCAATTGAGCAACTTAATACCACTTAATCACATTTCCTGCAATAAAAATTAACGCATGGTAATAACTTGTAAAAAAAGCAGAACAATTGTTCTGCTTTTTTGTAACACTTTCAGGGTCTATTCACTCAATTAGATTTTGCCGTGACATTGTTTGTATTTCAAACCTGAACCACAAGGACAAGGTGCATTACGGCTTTCTGGAGCTACAACCTCATCACTATGAGTGAATTGTGCATCAACAATCTCATTACTTACCGTACCGCTTAAGCCATCCACTTCATCATGTGCGAAGTTAAGACGCATAGATTCAGCTTGAGCCTGTTGTTGAGCTTCCATTTCAGCAAGCTCTTCAGGTGTTGGGATATGCACACGAGAAATATCAGTAACCACGTCTGACTTAATCACACCCAACATATTGACGAATAAATTGAAGGCTTCCTTCTTATATTCTTGTTCAGGGTTCTTTTGTGCATAACCACGTAAGTGAATCCCTTGACGCAAATAATCCATCGCAGCCAAATGGTCTTTCCAATGACGATCTAAAGAACCCAGCATGAAGTGACGTTCAAGTGTCGCAGCAGTATCATCGCCCATTTGTTCACGACGATTACGGTAACGCGTGACAATCTCATCAGAAATACGTTCAACCAAGGCTTCTTCATCAAGACGACGATCTTCTTCCAACCATTGATTTACAGGAAGATTAATGCCTAAGTCTTCATTCAATGCATTTTCAAGCCCTTGAATATCCCATTGATCATGGATTGATTCAGGTGGAATATAGGTTTCGATTAAGCCTTTTACGACTTCACGATGCATTTCTTCAATATAATCTTGAAGTGAGCTTTCTTCTAAAATTTCATCACGTTGAGAGTAAATAATTTTACGTTGTTCGTTATTTACATCATCGTATTTCAACAAGTTTTTACGAATGTCAAAGTTACGTGCTTCAACTTTGCGTTGTGCATTTTCAATAGAACGCGACACCATTTTATGTTCAATGGCTTCATTCTCTTGTAGTCCCATCGCACGCATCATTGCAACAACACGATCACCTGCGAAGATACGCATCAAATCATCTTCTAATGACAAGAAGAAACGTGAAACACCTGGGTCACCTTGACGACCAGAACGACCACGCAACTGGTTATCAATACGACGTGATTCATGACGTTCAGAACCGATGATGTGTAAACCACCTGAACTCAACACCATTTCATTGTTTTGTTCCCATTCTGCTTTAAGACGAGCTTCATCTTCCGCAGTATGGTTTTCAATTTTGGCAAGTTTTGCTTTCCAGTTACCACCAAGCAAAATATCGGTACCACGACCTGCCATATTGGTTGCAATGGTCACTGCACGTGGTGAACCCGCTTGGGCAATAATGTCTGCTTCACGCTCATGTTGTTTAGCGTTCAAGACTTCATGGGTAATACCCGCATCTCGTAACTTATCAGATAAAATTTCTGAAGCCTCAATGGTTGCAGTACCAATCAAGATAGGCGCAACACCTGCTTCATGAATTTTCTGAATTTCTTCAATAATTGCGTTGTATTTACCATTACGGTTTAAATAAATTAAATCGTTTTGGTCATTACGGATCATCGGACGATGGGTTGGAATAAGCACGACATCCAAACCATAAATTTCTTTCATTTCCGCAGCTTCAGTATCAGCAGTACCTGTCATACCTGAAAGCTTTTTGTATAAACGGAAATAGTTCTGGAATGTGGTTGTTGCTAAAGTTTGGTTTTCAGGTTGAACTTCGAGCGCTTCTTTGGCTTCAACAGCTTGGTGCAAACCTTCAGACCAACGACGACCTGGCATGGTACGACCAGTATTCTCATCGACAATGATTACTTCACCATCATGTACAATGTAGTGAACATTACGTTGATACAGGAAATGTGCACGAATTGCAGCAGACACGTGATGAACGAGGTTTAGATTTGATGGTGAATATAAGCTTTCGCCTTCAGCCAATAAACCCATTTTAATCAATTCATCTTCAACAGTTTCATAACCGACTTCAGTCATTTCAACTTGACGTTGCTTTTCATCAATCCAGAAATGACCGCCATCTGCGACTTTTTCTTCTTTTTGAGCATGCAACTTTGGTGGAATACTATTGATTGCAACATAAAGCTGTGATGAATCATCACTTTGACCAGAAATAATCAACGGTGTACGTGCTTCATCGATCAAGATCGAATCGACCTCATCGATAATCGCATAAATCAAACCACGTTGCTTTTTCTCTGCCATAGAGAAAACCATGTTATCGCGCAGATAATCGAAACCAAATTCATTATTGGTACCGTAAGTAATATCTGAACGATATGCCTCAGCTTTCTCTATTGGTGATTGCATCGAATAGATTACACCAACGCTTAAGCCCAAGAACTCATAAAGCGGACGGTTTAATTCAGCATCACGTTGTGCCAAGTAATCGTTGACCGTGATGACATGAACACCTTGCTCACTAATTGCATTTAAATATACAGCCAAAGTACCCATCAGGGTTTTACCTTCACCTGTACGCATTTCTGCAATTTTTCCTTCATGCAAAGTAATACCACCAATGAGCTGCACATCATAATGACGCATACCCATGACACGTTTTGCTGCTTCACGACACACCGCAAACGCTTCTGGCATTAATTTATCTAGGCTTTCACCTTTCTTATATCTTTGTTTGAATTCTTCAGTTTTTGCAGATAAGTCTGCATCGCTGAGTGCAGATGTCGTCGGCTCGAGCGCATTGATCTTATCGACAATTTTACGCATACGTTTTAGTTCGCGCTCGTTTTTAGTACCGAAGATTCCTCCGATCAGACTTGCCAACATATAAACTCTCTAAATCTTTGTGAAATAAATTTTTCTCAGACGATATTATGGTGGTAGAAATTTGAAGTACAAGGGTTTTGCACAAATCCAATCAAAAAAATCTGACGATTAGTTCTAGCACGTATCAGCTAAGGCGCATTAATGTAGCAAATTTAACCGATATTTGCAGTGAGGTAGAGATCAATTATATGTTTTTTTTCATATGCTTCTTTTATTAATATCTATTTTCTTCATAAAGAAATACAAAAACACTATTTTTAATTATAAAAAAACTGGGTAATAGTAGTTTGGACGAGCCAAATAACAAACAACATTTTTAAATATTGAGGTTTCAAAATGACTTTACGATTAGGTGACATTGCACCAGATTTCACTCAGGAATCTAGTGAAGGTCCAATTAAGTTTTATGATTACTTGGGCGACAGTTGGGGTGTTTTATTCTCACACCCTGCTGATTATACGCCAGTATGTACCACTGAACTGGGCTATACCGCAAAACTAAAAGATGAGTTTGAACAGCGTGGGGTAAAAGCCATTGCCCTTTCAGTCGATGATGTTGAATCACATAAAGGTTGGATCAACGACATCAATGAAACGCAAAATACTACTGTAAACTTCCCAATCATTGCAGACAAAGATCGTAAGGTGTCAACGCTGTATGATTTCATTCATCCAAATGCCAGTGAAACGCTCACCGTACGTTCTTTAATTATTATTGATCCCAATAAGAAAGTTCGCTTAATCATTACTTACCCTGCATCAACTGGACGTAATTTTAAAGAAATTCTACGTGTGATTGATTCATTACAACTGACTGACAATTATAAAGTTGCCACACCTGCAAACTGGCAAGATGGTGAAGATGTTGTCATCGTCCCGTCGATCAAAGATGAAGCGGAGCTTAAAGAACGCTTCCCAAAAGGTTATACGGCGGTTAAGCCTTATCTTCGTCTTACCCCACAACCCAATAAATAATATGCAATATTGATTTTTTAGATTAGAGCTAACTAACTTCAAAAGATCACATCCAAACTTGATGTGGTCTTTTTTTAATATCTACTGATTGCAACGAAACTCTTTTCCCTCTGCAAAACACACCAAATACTAAAATAAAAGCAAAATCATTTAAAAAAAAGGCACCGAAGTGCCTTTTATGATCAAAGATCAGCGAACAAATGTTATGCAGGAATACGTAAAACTTGTCCTGGGAAAATATCATCCGCATTTTTTAACAATGGGCGGTTCGCTTCAAAAATTTTATTATATTGGTTGGCATCACCATAAAATTCTTTTGAAATTTTAGACAAATTATCGCCTGATTTAACCGTATAGAACTTACTTTCAGGCTCAGGTGTTGCAACTGTCATTTGATCATCAACTTGCGCCACATGGTCAATATTCCCCACAGCAAGAATGATTTTCTCTTTATCTGCCTGAGTTTGTACCTGACCGTGAATCGTGGCCAAATCAGAAGTACCATTATAACTTACCGACAGCCCTGTTACTGGCAAGCCTAACGCTTTAATGTGCCCCAATAACTTATTGGCAATTTCTTGTGCAGACGGTTCTGCTGGCGTTGCTGGTGCTGCTTGTGGCTCAGC